GGTTATTCTGTACTGCTTGTGACTGGTTTCTCAGAAAGTTAGGCCATATGTCTGCGAATCGTATTTGCCCACGTTAAGTCCGGTGTGACTGGTTGTTGAATCAGTCTTGTTCATATTTTCTCACGGCCAATATTAGGGCCGTAAATTAATGTCTACCGTTTGGCTAGCAGCCTGCTGTCACTACAGTTTCATCACATTTATGCACAATTCTGTTTTCAAGTGTCAGTCTATCAGGGTTTTATTCGTTTCACGTTTAATCTTGAACTGATGTCAGTTAGAGAACCTTTAGGTTATGAGGCCTAGAGCTCTGGTATTTAGTGTTCGTCGGGCTCGTGACTGCGTGTTGTTGAAGAGTCCCTAAATGAGGACGAGACACATGTCAAGTACTTCGTGGTTTCCAATGGTTCTCTGTCTAACATCAGTCCAAGATAAAAAGTGAAAAATTTCTGCCTACGTTTATATAAAAGAAGTCAGAAAGTTGCATGAGTAACTTGATGTGATTGTGAACAGTGAATTGTTCTGGAACCATCATCAGTAAATGTTATCAAAACAGACTTTCTCCATAATAGAATTAAGCTCAACAAGAATATCTTTTCGCCAATTTCATCTTCAAAAGCTGAACAATTGGATTTTTATGCATAAGTTTACATAGTTACAACTGCTATTGAATTCAACGAATTAACGAAAAATCTTTGAGTGCGAATCCTTTCAAAACGTGTTCGAGAGCGTTATCTAGCATGACTAAAAATAGATGACACTGATTCAGTCAAAATATCCATAGGTGAATACTTTATTATCAGCTGTCATAGCATGCCAACTGATTCATTATTCACAGTCATTTACAAAGTGAACAAAAATCTACCACAGAAGCCCTCACCGTGTGCATCAAGAAGCCAGGGCTATGTATTCAAAAGAAACTAGTCCAACCTGTACATTTACCATGGATCTAATTCATTTTGACTATTTAGTTTTCGTTTTATTTCATCTTCGTTTATAAAAACTATTATTTCATATTCAAGTGTTAGTTTGCAGGGATTTGGTTAGTTTCAGGTTTTCATCATGAACTGACTTCCAGTGATTTGAACTAGTTCAACTCTGTCAGCTGTGAGTCAGTCAGTCAGTCAGTCAATTCAGTCGGGTACACTGCCAATTGCCAGTTGAAATTTAGCTCCAGTATTTTTAATCATTTCAGTCTAGTTGGCAGTTGATAGTACTGACTGACGTCAAATACTAATAATAGTAGTTAGTAGTATATATATATACTGTAAGACTAAAAAATAGGTATAAAATCTGACAACTCTTCAACTTACTTCATAATAAGTAGTATGCACGTGAGTCATCGCTGAATAGGCGTTGAATTTCATTACAACCTTTAATAAATAGGGAAAAATTGGGAGACAGTATTCTATTCTGCATAGATATACATTAAGTATCTGTCATATGGGAGTTGAAAAGATTATCTCGTCACTGACACCCATCCTACTTTGTAAATGACAATAGAATGGCATTTTTACTTGTTTGTTAATGACAACCTAATAGTCATAATAATATCTCCTTATTCCCTTCCTCCTTACATGGAAAATAAAACCCTCTGTAAAGTTGGATAAAATCACTAAAATTTTGAGATTTAACAGAATGATTCGTCTTATGCATAAACAAATAAATATCTTTTCACCCCCTCGGCCCTGTGTTTTGTCTCTCCTAGTCACAAGAGATTAAAAAAAGCAAAAGAAAAGGAGTATGCCAGATTCATTTTAATGCATTTCTGTGTATTTATTATGTATAAAAAGTAACTGCCTTGTCTTCTTTTTCAACTGGTTATTATTTATTGTCTTTTGTGTTGTTACCATGGTGAGATTTCAGTTTTTTTTAGGGGACCACCCTAATGGTCATATGACTCAAAAAATAAATTTTTATCTCACATTGGTTGGTCATATTGGCGAAGTTAAATTTTAAGCACCACTAATTACCAATGGAGTGACCTTGAAACGCTCACTGAGCAAGTTGGTGAAACCTGGTAAATAATGTTGTTGACGTCAACAAAATTTGTTCATCGAGGTATTATTTTATCATCAAATGGGATATCTGGCAACTTTTAGCTTAGATCTAGGAAGGATTAAGTTACGCTTTAAGCCAGGGATAAGTTAGGGTTAGGTCAATCTAATGAAGGTGTGGTGGTGCAGCGGTTAGGATGCTTGCCGACCATGCACATGGTCCGGAGTTCGATCCCCGGCCACAGACGCACTCCTTTACCTCGCTAAGCCAGAAATAATGCTGGTAAACAGGAAAGGTTGGGCATGAGACCAGCAACCCCAACCTGTAGAAATAAACACTGCTACAGAAACTTCAAGCCATTAGCTTGAAGCCCTATGTTCCACTGGGGAACGTGAAGGAAAAAAATCTAATAAAGACGACATTGGAGTTGGTTCGAGTTAGATTACAGTTAGTATAGAGATTTTTACACGTTAGGGTTAGGTGCAGGAAAGATTAGGTTTACAAGACCCAAATAATTACATACATAGAATATGATTATATTTCTCTGTTGACATAAGAATAGAACCTGGGCACTGTGGTAGGATATAATTCCATTGTGGGTAAAATTTATTTTGATAAAGTCTAACAGTGTTATACAGTAAGTAATATTTACTGATGGCGACGTTTCGAGCACAATTTATTGCCCAGTGAATATTACTGTATAACACTATGAAACTTTATCAAAATAAATTTTGCCCACAATGGAATTATACTCAGTTGATACATCAACCTAAAACTGAGAGTCACTTTTACCAAATGTAAAGAAAGTTATCCTCCGTAAATTTTTACAGTTTTATGCATTTTTTTTCATAAATATATGTGTATTCCATACACAAAAATGTCTCCTTCACGTGATTGGTGGTAGATAGTGGTGCTTAAAGTTTAACTTTGCCGTCATATTGAAGACCAGTGATAATATGTCGGTTTCTAGTATGGACTTATCAATGCTGTCTGAAGATTAACATAATATCATTTGGTTGACAATGACTAGCATCCGAATTTCGTCCTATTTAGGATTCGTCGACTGGATGTGTTGTTTAAATAACTTCAGCGAGTGAATAAAGATACCCCGACCGAGGAGACTAGAATGCAGCACTCGTTGCTCCAAAGCTCCAAAGCTCATTAGCATGAGAATGTGGACTGATTGCTATTAGATTGAAACGTTCAGTTCCACCCTCCATGATTCATCCAGTTGAAATGTCTTGAGTGGGAGGAATCACACATTTTGGATTTCACTGCTGGCCGCCATAAATCAAATATAAGATATAGGAAAAGTACCTGGGCACTGTATTATGTTATTATTATTATTATCATTCCTGAGCACTGTGGAAAAAGTGTAATTCTATCAGTCGAATAACAGTCGTAATTTATAGTAAAATATTTTTCAAATGTTGTTTTACAGGCATTTGATTGGTTACAGAATTTTAGAGAAATAAATGGGGAACTAGGACTCTTCATCGGTATGCACCCTTCGGCATTCAAATGCAAGACCTTCAGGTAATAAGGTGAGCTTATAGACCATTCAGCAACTGGGATCTGAACCAAAGTCCTATGAATTTCAGATTCCGGCAATTTCTGATATATTGCAGGAACAAGAGCCAATATCATCGATGATTAACTGATGTCTCACCTGATTTGGTGAACCTTGTTTGTTGTGACTTTTTACTATTATTATTAATTCCTAGAGGAACATAGGGCTTCAGCCAAGCGTCTCCATTGCCATCGGTTTTCTACCAACTTTTTCACCCTCCTCCAATTCTGCCCACATACTTTCATCTCCTCTTCACATGGCCTCCTTCAAGTCACCCTCAGACTGACGACCAACTCCCCGCTTCACTTTCGGGTTCCACTCGAGCAGTGCCTTGTCTAGTGATGTCATCTGATGGTTTCCTCAGCGTATGGCCAGCCAATCCATCTCCATTTCTTCCTACCTATTTGTTTCACAATCGGTTCCTGGTGGGTTGGTTCGCTCATTGCCAGAGATCCCTCTCTGTTTCTGATCTTTTATGGCCGGCCATCTGATCTTGAGTGGGATTGAGCGAAGACAACTGTTAATGAAGGTTTGAAGTTTGTTTGAGGTGCTCTTTATGACTCACTGGCCAAGTCTCTGATCCGTATAGTGAGTAGCACTGACTGACTTCACATTGGAGTTGAAAATCCGGATGTTATTTCTGATGCTGAGTAGTGCTGTTGACCTCCCTCCACACAGACTCGCTGAAAGTAATGAAAGTTTGTCTTCTTTTCCTTATCCACACTGCTTTGATATCCTCGCCAGTTCTGTCCGCCTGTAGTGGAGACGATGCTTCTTAGCTAGGGAGGTGTGAAGGAGGTTGTTTCTTTCAGGTTCCTCCCATTTACGCTGGCTGATTGTTGTCTGTTGTTGTTGCTGCTGTTACTGTTGGTGTTGGCCAGGAATCCTCATCACCTCTGTTTTATCTATGTTCACTTGAAGTCCTATCTTCTCTGGATGCTTCTTCTGACAGCTTGTTTCTTTTCACTTGCATATCTTCCAGTTTGTGGGAAATCAGACATATATGATCACCGGCGAAGTCCAGATCCTCCAAGTTTTTTGGAGGATCTTACTAGAACTCCACCAATCACTAATGGACACCAGATTAATTATCAAATTTTGGTTTGTAGGGATTTTAATGGTTAGAAGTCTCAGTGCTTGAATCGTGTATTAGCTGCTCACCTTTTAATCGAAAAGTCTTAGATCCTGGCACCCAGGCGGGTGCGTGCTGTGAAGAGCCCCTCCAAAGTAGGAAGAAGCATCTGTCCAGTACTTCCTAGTTTTCAGCTCTGTTGATGACATCTTTAAAAGCAGGTTTTCAAATTTACCGCTTCTCTTTTAAATTAATTTTGAGAATTAATTATTTTTTAAAGCGTATTTTATGATTATATTTATAATTTTATTCGTTTCATTTTCATTTAGATTAAACATTGAAGTACACTTTACTTTTCTGTTAATGTGTAAACAATCAACTCAATTAACATTTGTGTATGTATGTGTGTGTATGATTGTCTGTTGGTGGTATGTCGGCATGTATCATCTTTGCCTTGCAGTTTTTATAAAGGTCACTCAAAATGTTTACTTTTCAAATTATGTTAATTTTAAATTTTAAACATAAATATTTGTTGTTTATTTACAGGTTACATGACGAATTTATTTACACTTTTTCAATATTTCTAATTATGATTACATAAGTTTAGTTTGTCTTTGCATCGGTCGGTTTAAATAACTTTCGGCGGCCTGCTTAAAACTTAAACTACTGAAAAATCTCCATCTTTGTATTTTGCACATAATTTTGCTTATTTTTTGTGTCAATGACACAGCTGTAGCATGCTGACAGACCACGCATGTGGTTCGAGGTTCGATCCACGGCCGATGCATTCCTTTACCTCGTTAAGCCGGTTATAAAACTGGTAAAGAAGAAAGGTTGGACATGTAGCTGGCAACCTCATCCCGTAATAATAAACATCGCTGCCATCGAAACTTTAAAGCTCTAGCTTGAAGCCCTGAGTTCCACTAAGAATGTGAAGGAATAAAAGAGATTTCTCTCAATAAGTATGTGTAAGTTTGATAAACTACAATCTCCAACAGTATCTATTTTACTCTCGAGAGTTTATAAAGCATTTAAAATCTGCTCATTCGCAAGTCTCTACCAAACGTGATTATTATTATTGTCCCCTTGGGCTCCTAGTGGAACATAGGACTTCAACTGCACGTCTCCACTTGCCACTTCTGTCTTCCTTCTGCTGTACTTTTCACCTCCATCCATTTTAGTCCATACTGTTTCAACTCCTCTCTCTTCACACGATCTCCTCCATGTCACCCACCCTTGGACGTCCCATTCACCGCTTCCCTTTCGGCCTGGTTCCACTCGAGCAATGGCCTGACGAGCGATGTCAACAACCGGCCTCCTCAACGACTGTCCCATCCATCTCCACTTTTTCCTGCATATTTTTTGGGCGATTGGTTTGTTCTTGTTTTTTTGTTCCCAGTCAGAGTTTCTTGTTGATGATTCTTTCCGGCCCGGCCATCTGATCTTCAGTATAGATCCAGCGAAGACAGTTGTTGGTTGATAAAGGTCTGCAACAGGCTGTTGAAAATATTCTTTGTGACCCACCCACCCGCCAACTTTCTGATCCGTATAGAAGAACTAACTGACTTGACGTTGTTTGTATTGAAAATCAGCCTGGATTTTGTTGTTGATGCCGGCTGGCTGAGTGACGGCGATTTCCAGATTGGCTGTTTCAGGTTGATGAATGTGTTTCTCTTCTGCCCTCCCGATTCTCGCTCGATTTGACAACCTCATCCGTTCCGACTTCCTGTAGTTGAGACAATGCTCCCTAGATAAGTGAATGAATGAATGAGGTGACCAATTTCAAATCCCTCCCGTTGATGGTGATTGACACTGGATATTGTTGTTGTTGGCTGGTTATTTTCATAACCTCTGTCTTGTCTATGTTCATCAACTGGAGTCCTGTCTTCACTGTCTGCTTCTTCGACCAGGTTGTCGGTCGGTTTTCGCTTGTAAGTCTTCGATTTTGTGACAGTGACATCAAACATAAATCATCCACGCGCGAAATCCAGGTCTTCTAGGTTCTTCACGTCAGTCCAGGGTATCCCTGTCTTCTCGTTTCCCACTCACTATCTGACGCATAATACAGTTCACCACAATTAGGAATATCATTGGTGATAGTAAGCAGCCTTGTCTGACTCCTGTGTTTACTCCAAACGCCTCGCTGAGTCTTCCGTTGTGGATCACTTGGCAGGTGCCGTTGTCGTACAGCTGTTGAATAAGGTTGATGAATATTTGGGGTACGCCGTAGTACTCGAGTAGTTTCCAAATTACTTTGCGGTCAACGCTGCCTGTTGAAGGCCTTCTCAAAGTCTATAAAGTTGAGGCAGAGATGAGATGAAGCGTTATCCACCAAAGATGGCAGCTTATCCAAATACACGAGACAGTCTTTCCTCAGCGGTGTTCTTGGTTCACAAAATGTACTCTACAACATTCTGTAATTGTTATTCATCAACAAAATGTCGACATCTATTTCTCGGAGAAAGATCAGACATGTCATAATGGACCAACTTGCTCTTCAGGTTAGACAGAAGGAACTGTGTCACAAGATCTACTGTCAATTCATCTTTTTTATTTGAAGATCCTGGACGAAGAGAAAATATGATGCAATAAACTCCGCGGAAAATTTTGTGCTTTACGTAAACATTGTTCAAAACAAAGTTAGAATAATAATAATACTTCAAGGGTTGAATCCTAACCATCTACGCGAAATATATCGATTAGACACTCCTGACCAGTTCATTGCTTAGTTTACTAGCTGGTAGGAAACTCATAAAAGTAGTAAGGTTAGACATGAGACTAACAACCTTCCTCCTCTTCTGTGAAAAACTACACGACTATTACTGAAACTTTTGTGCTTAAAAGCAGGGAATACAAGATTTCAGTTTACAAATCATTCGTGTATAATGATGCTTAGATATTTTTTCTCTTTTTATTAGGTTGATGGTAGTTAACAATGAATTCCCAGGTATACATTTTGTCCCATTCTAGACTCATCAATCACAGGTAACTCCATTCTTGTGAGTGATACATTATCCTAACCAGAAGGTGATATGTTAATAGAGATCAATGCATTTCAACCTATTAAGATAGAAAACACAATTGGAGATTTGAAAGCTTCAGCCAAGAATACTTTGAATTACTGACGATGAGTCAGATGTTTAAGAATATCTATTCTTCGTACAGGATCTTCCAGTAAAATGGTATTTTGCAGTACATCGTCTGATACTCTGTTATCCCATCTGAAGCAAAATCCAAATCTCTACGATGCTTTTGTTTCCTCATTTTTCTTGAGAAATGCTCTAAAAAGGAGTATGACTTCATATAGCCATGATCCAAAAATATAGTTGGGTAATTAAAACAACAAGAAAGGGAGAAGAGTTTATACCGGTAGCTCAGTGATTTAAGTAGGCTGCCGGATTATCAAATCTCCAACAGCAATTAAAACACCAGAGACAGCCAAGATCCCACATTACTAAGTAGACATTTAGCTTCATATTGGGAAGCTGAATTTGGAAAATTTACTATGGAGTCATTCTGCTTATATAACTTTGATATTTCCCCTTATAATTTTTGTGCTAAAATGAGCAACCTATTTCTCCGTGAAGTTTTATGAACTACTAATAGTGTGATCAGTTACAGGATTTCATCATGAGCTGACATCGGTTCGAGAACCATTGGAAAACCTGGCAGTAGTGGACAAGTACCGGATTTCATGGGCCATTAGATCGGGTCATAAAGGCTTAGTGGTCTGCGAATTCGCCTTGTAAACAGAAGAATCCCAAACTAGGCTGACGAAACAACTGGCTGTCCAGTACTCCTCGACGGTTTTCCAGTGGTTCTTTAACCGATAGCAACTCATGATGAAATCCTGTAACCAATCAATCATATCCCTGCAAATCAATACTTGAATGGTGTGATCAGTCAGATCCAGGAAATTTCAAGTATATTTGAAGTGACTTTTGAATCATACTCATACTAAATGAATTAGTCTTCAAGTTTCAGCAGATTAGCTGGTAACGCTGTAGAGTTCAAAACAACAGATGTTAATTTAAAGTCTTAGCTGACAGGCTAATAAGTCATCCAGATTCAGATACATTCAACCGATGTGTCTCAAATGCGAAGAAACTTGCGCTCTGAATTCCAAATCACGCCAAAGTGAGACATATACACTTAACCACAGAAATCTTAATAAATCATAGTCAAATGACCAATTGTTAGTTAAATAATGGAATAATTAAGCATCCGACTTCATTACTGTGAGATGCAAATACGATGTTCAGGAAGATATAACTTCATCAAAGTTTAGAAATAGAATTTTTAAAAATCTAAACAAAGCACCACTTTTTAACAATTAACTATAAACGGCAAAATGATTCATCTTTGTGACTTTTTGTTAATGAATCTAACAGAATTGGTCAACTTCTGTTTCCGTGTTAATATATGTGTATCTGTTTCCGTGTATGACCTTCTGAATGGATGTCTTAATATTACCAAGATTAATAACTAGAAGTTACTTGTCTTGGGGATGATTTGTAGTGGAATCCAGGGCACAATTATCATCCTATTCCCAACTCTTCACTTGGATCTACCTGCTCCAAATCATGTGATGTTGTTCCCCTTGAGACTCAAAACAAGGCTAAATGAATTATACCACATCGTTTATTGAGATAATTATGTTCCCGACTAATAGACTTTGGTGTAATAGATTGAAGATTGATTGACAGGAGATTGTGTGACATATTTCCTTCTATCTAACCTGATTAGCTGTCTTTTATCATAGGGCCTGCGTTCTATCTACCGTGCGAAGTGGTATAATAAGGTGAGCAATATTGAGGTGAGGCACTGGTCGAGTGTTAGGTAAGGAGGGGAAATCAATCGACGAGACTGTGAAGTTACGTCGATTGAGATGGTTAGGACATGCGTTACGTATGCTGGCCTAGTTATCGCCTTCCTCGACCGAAGAGCAATGTTAGCTGACATAGGGTCACGGTGAAAAAGAGCTAACCAGTGGTAGTCAAACCAAAACATGGCTTCGCCAACCAATGAAATCCACAGCAGTTCGTTTAAGCCAGACAAGTAGGAAGGTGTAGACTTCCTGGTTGGGGCCCTCGGGACGGTAAAAACCAATGATGGCTGGAAACAATTGGTGATATGGCTCAAACTCATCGTTCTCAATGGCTGACGCAGATGCATCCAGTCCTTGTGATGGATGATTTCCAATGAAACTATATTGTTCTTCGTTATTACTATTCCTTTGTCTCACATCTCTGTTTACTGTCTCTATTATGCATTTCTTCTACTTTCTTCTGTTGCTTTGTGTGCTACATGGAAGTGGAGTGCGGCGACTTGAACTGCCCCACATCGGTGCAAAGTTCCATGTCGAAAACAGATAGGCAGACTATGTAACCTGAAGAGCAAACCACTCCAACATGATGTATACGATTTTTCTCAATCAAGAAATACACGACGACATTTTCTTGATGAATGCCAATCACAAAATGTTGTGGAGTGGATTTTGTGAACCTAGTGTAACAACAGAAGACAAGGGCCAGGAAACAGATCGTCTACTAAGGAAATCAACACATATCTATATATTTTCATGTACATTATTATAGATTGTTTAGGCAAACAAACATAGTCCTCTGATTGGTTGTTTCGCACAGAAAGTTAACCTTGTATCTCTTTGTGGCTGCTGTTTCTTGAATATCAGATCATCTATATGTTAACTGTATCCGCTTACGCAAAGCCTTTGTTCTCATTTTTCTCACGACCAATATTGGGGACATAAACAATGACGTAAATTATTGTCCACCAATTTTGACTAACAGCCAGCTCTCACCATATCAGGACACCATTGAGGAAAGACTGCCTGGTGTATTGGAATAAGCTGTCATCTATCGTGGATAATGATTTATCTCATATTTAGTAGAGGTTTGTGAATGAGCAGGTTGTTAATGTTTTAAATACTCTCGAGAGTAGAAAAGATATTATTAGAGTATTCAAGTGTTGGTTTGTAGGGATTTGATTAGTTTCAGGATTTCATCATGAGCTGACATTAGTTAGAGGACCATTGGAAAACCTGGGAGTACTGGACAGCTGTTTCGTCCTAGTTTGGGTAGGTAGTTACCTGGGTTCCAGTGGAAAGTTGTGGCCAGTAGGGTGCAGAGGGTCGGGTGTGAGGACAAATACTCATCGAAGACATTGGCTAGCGGTCGCGCTATGTCATGAATTGGCAGAAGTTAGAATTCAAGGACCATTGGAATGGGTTCCAGTGGCTTAATGGTATACGACCTAGCTCGCCTTGTAACCGGAAGGTCCTGGGTTCGAACCCATGTGGTGGGCGCGTACTGCTGAAGAGTCCCAAACCAGGACGAAACAGCTTTCCAGTACTCCCAGCAGGTTTTCCAATGGTCCTCTAACTAATATTATTAGAGGTTGTAATTTACTAGACTGAACCCAAGTGAATAAGAGAAATTCTATGCAGTATACAATGATGGAGGTTTTTCGATAGCCCTTCTTCTATCAACCCTAATCACATTCTGAATTAAAAAGAGAAGTGTAAGAGACTTCATTTTTTAGTAGCAGTGGTGTTTCATTTACGGGATGAGGTCGCTAGGTTCATGTCCGACCTTCCCTCCTTAACGATCTTTTTACTGAATTAGAGAGGTAAAGAAGTGTGTCGACCGTGGAGTGAACCCCGGACTACACGCGTGGCTGGCGAGTATTCTCCCACTAAGCCACTTCATCGACTTTGAAAAGGGCTTCGACAGCGCAGCGTCGATCGAGAGGTCATTTGGAAACTACTTCGTTACTACCAAGGGGTCCCATCGACAATTATACAGCTCATCCAACAGCTATACGACAATGCTGCATGCCAAATAATCCACAACAGGAAACTTACGGAAGCCTTCAAAGGGAGGACGGGAGTGAGGCAAGGCTGTCTACAGTCGCCAATGATTTTTCTGATTGCAGTAGATTGGATAATGCGACAGAAAACGGGCAATGAGGAAACAGGCATAAAATGGACTCACACAAAAAACTAGGAGGATCTGGACTTCGCCGGTGATCACATATGTCTGATTTACCACAAACTGGAAGATATACAAGTGAAAAGCAACAAGTTGACAGAAGAAGCATCCAGAGAAGATAGGACTTCAAGTGAACATAGAGAAAACAGAGGTAGGTAATGAAGATTCCTTGCCAACACCAACAGTAACAGCAGCAACAACAACAGACAACAATCAGCCAGCGTAAATGGGAGGAACCTGAAAGAAACAACCTCCTTCACATCTCCCTAGCTGGGAAGCATCGTTTCAACTACAGGCGGACAGAACTGGCGAGGATATCAAAGCAGTGAGGATAAGGAAAAGAAGACAAACTTTCATTACTTTCAGCGAGTCTGTGTGGAGGGAGGTCAACAGCACTACTCAGCATCAGAAATAACATCCGGATTTTCAACTCCAATGTGAAGTCAGTCAGTGCTACTTACTATACGGATCAGAGACTTGGCCAGTGAGTCATAAAGAGCACCTCAAACAAACTTGAGACCTTCATTAACAGTTGTCTTCGCTCAATCCCACTCAAGATCAGATGGCCGGCCATAAAAGATCAGAAACAGAGAGGGATCTCTGGCAATGAGCGAACCAACCCACCAGGAACCGCTTGTGAAACAAATAGGTAGGAAGAAATGGAGATGGATTGGCTGGCCATACGCTGAGGAAACCATCAAGTGATATCACTAGACAAGCCAATGCTCGAGTGGAACCCGAAAGTGAAGCGGGGAGTTGGTCGCCAGCGTGAGGGTGACATGGAGGAGGCCATGTGAAGAGGAGATGAAAGTATGTGGGCAGAATTGTAGCAGAGTGAAAAAGTTGGTAGAAAACCGATGGCAATGGAGACGCTTAACTGAAGCCCTATGTTCCTCTAGGAATTAAAGGATATAATAATAATAAGCCACTGACGCCATGAGACTGTATTAGTCTTAGTAAATATTATAATTTGAATATATTTTAGTTTTCAATATAGAAAATGATGTTGAATTATGTAATTTTGGCAAACATCTGCGTAACTTAGAAACCAGACACTAAATTTGTTTATTACGTGATTTATTTCTATCACACTAACAGCCTACATTTGAAAAGTTTTCTTAGAGATAATATTGAACGATCTACTTTTACTCAATTTGTTCAATTTGAATTTAGTTATCTTGTTTTAATTTTTCCATTTTCATAGTATAATTTGGTGTTCAGTTTATCATGGTGAATTGGCAGACCAGCTGATTCGGAAACCGGAAGAATTACGTGCTAAAGAGTTATGCAATAGCAGTATTAATTGTACTAGTAAGGCATCAACTGTATCAAGTGCAAATCGTATTAATAATTTAATATGGCTTAAAATTCCTATTCCAAGGACTACGGCGTCGCAGGCAGTTGAAAAGACAGAGGCGACACACTCCAGTAACAAAAAACGCACATCATTATCATCGCCATCAGCATCGTCACACCCATCAACACAATCGCAAACACCTAATTATGCTACAAATACAATAAATTTACTATCTATTATCTATCATATATTTCTGCCTATTTCTTATGAATTTGGACCAGATCTAGTCTATTTATTGATTGGATCTAATGAAGATGATTACGTGAGTCGTTAAGCATAATTTGTTTTTTGAAGATTTAACTTCAATTGGGTATCTGATAACTGGTTGTTCTGTCGTCTTTCGTTCCCTTTTTTGTGATTTGTTTTGTTCTTGTCCATTTTCTGTTGCTGTTAACATAACAAATGGTAAGGTTGTTTAACTACAGCAAAGGTGTTTAATATTCATATATGTGTGTAAAACTTGGGCACTGCAATGGTAGTAAGTAATTCCATATTAGTTTGTTTATTAGATATATCACACAGTGAGTGAAACAGTATTATTTACTGGATAACACAGTTTCGAACAAAATTTACTGTGGTTCATAATCATATCAATTGTAATCACACGATTTTGAAACTTGAGTTTTATAGTTTTCTTTGTTCTCTCTTATTTGGTTCTGTTGTTGAGAGTATCTTGTAAAGATGCTACGTCAGTATTCTCATGCACGCTGAAACGACCATACTTTGTAACGACAACCCTTTTCTTCATATTAATCACTGCATCCACTTCTCGCAAAAAGTCTTCCCCAAGGATTGTTCGGCGCAATTCAGGTACGACCAGGAATGGGAACGTCACACTATCCTTTCCAGTTTTAACTCTGCAGTCCGACACTCCCTCGATTCTTAACACGTGACCACCCACTGTTTGTACTGTCAACGAACACGGTCTTATATTCTCACATAGGCTCCTGTCTACGAGTGAGACTGCTGCCCCTGTTTCAATTAAACACACCAATTCGCGGTCATTTACACATAACTTCGAATATATCGCCTCCTTCTCCACTACCCCTATTACCTCAAGTCTCGGAACACAGGAAGAAGACATGGTATATCTTTTAAAACCTCTTCTTTGTCGTCTCTCCTGGCAGCGGTTTCTTCAGTGACCCAGTTTATCACATGTGAAACACCGGCCTCTGCACACGTTCAGTCTTAGCGCGGCTACTTCGCGTTGCAACTCTTCAATCTTCTGCTCGTATTCCTTTGGTTTTGGTTGCTCTATAGAGGCTACAGTTGTGCTCAGCAGCTGTCTGGTCACCTTCGCCAGCTCACTAATATCCATCGGCTGCACAGCGTTAACCAGTTGTAATCGCTGAGAAATGTGGTTTGGGACACTCCCGATGAACTGTGGAATGTTGACGTGGCGGGAGGATGACGGAAGCTGCTTAGCAGTAGTATCTCAATGCCTGCGTCAAGAGATGGTACAGGAATGTCACTAACTAGCGCACACGGGTGTTGCCCGAACGAACGATCTCCTGCGACAAACCATGTACTGGCCAGGTATGAGAGAAGACGTCGAGAAGTACGTAACACCGTGTACGCAATGTCAGCTGATGAAAGGTGATCAGTACATACGACCGTCACTGCAGTCGTTCCCAGTGATAGCAGTAGGATACCTGTGGTCCGTAGATTTAATGGGACCTTTACCACAAACGTTCAATGGCAATCAATATCTTCTGGTCATGACAGAACATGCCACACGATGGATAGACACAGTCGTGATCCCTGATCGACGCACAAAAACGGTGACAGAAGCAGGGTTAGTAGAATTTTTCACATATCTGGGACAGGTGTTGAATCATTCCTATTACATGTATTTGCAGTTGATTCGATAAAGAAAGCTTCTGTTATCAATCTCTCCCTCTATTCACCCTGTTACATTATATTTTTAAACCGTCATCTTATCCCATCCCATCCTATTGTATGGTTGTGTGTAACTGTAGTGAGTGCTATAGCCGAACTATTCTCTAGATTTCTTATCTTATTCGGGTCAACCAATCTAGATTTCACTGCTAGGTATTTTATGTTCTGCTAGTCTGACTGACCCTGTTCTACTAGTTTGACCTATGTATTGGACCTGATAATCATTCCAGCAGGGTACTAGATAAATTAAATTGTTTTGTTTTAAAGGCTCCACAGGCAGGATCTTTTAACCGACAAAGCTTGTTTCCAATTGAGTGTGTGCGTGGTTTGAATGCCAGCAGCCACTTTTATTCCTGCCTTGTTAAGAATTCTGCGTAAGGTTTCTGAGGTTTCTTCCTTGTATGGAATTACTACTGATGATTTAGATTCCTTATTGTTGGTGTCGTCATTAATATTATTATTATTATCACTATCGCTACTATCATTATTTATTTTATTTTTACATTTCCTTACATATTTCCTGACTAATTTATCCGGGTAATTATTAAGTTTCAAGGCTTCTTTTATGTGTATCATTTCCTGTCTTGGATTTCTTTTGGTACTACTTAGATTTTGTGCTCTATTGTCACTTAAACATTACACCAATCCTACTTTTACTGACATAGGATGGGATGATCTGAAGTCCAATTATCTGTTTGAATGTGTGGGTTTCCTGTAAACACCATTGTGTGTTTAACTTCCCATCTTCTTTCCTTTCTACGTTGCAATCTATATTAATGTTTAATTTTTTCTGCAATCTTACTGAGACATATGCCTTCAAAGTTGAACTTCACGCCTTACTGACGACAGTACCAATAAGCGCAAAAGTTAGATACACGACATTCTGTCGATCGCCCTTATCAGATATCTAATATCAGTTCAAAATTCATCAAGATGTCGGGTCACCTAGTGATATGATCGCTTGATTCACGGAAATAATTTAAATAAATGAGGCATTGAGAAAACAAATATCATTCGATGGTACTTTTTTTTCTACGATAGCTTTACAACTAACATGGTTCACAATAATAAAATGAAAACGTAAGAAAATATTGCTCTTAATACATTTAATCCTACTCCAAAAATATAGTGGAGATATGTGGATGACATTTTCACAGTGTTAGAAACAGAACATATCTCTCTCTAGCTTCTTGACACATATAAACTCACAAGTAGAGGGAATAAAATTCACATTTGAATCAGAAAATGAACGAGGAGAATTAGATATGGCGTCAGATTGTAAAATAAAACGAATAGAAGAAGGCAAACTACACACTAGTGTGTACAGAAAACCAACGCATTCTAATAGATATTTAGACTTGAATTCATCTCATTTGTTAACTGTTAAGGCAGGCTTAGTTAAGTGTTTAACAAACCGAGCAGTAGCACCAAGTATCACAAGAAAAGATCTAAATGATGAAAAAGAAACAGATGGAAGGAGCGTTGATATCAAATAACTATCCCATAAAATTCATTAGGAAGATCGAAAAAGGCCAAAAGCAAAATAAAAATAATAATGAAACTAGTAATGATAACATAATACAAGTCATCCACTGTTATAGCATATAAGGAGGGGACATCTGAGACCCTACGTAGGATTCTAAATAAAGCAGGAATTAGGGTGGTATTTACACCTACAAACTCACTCAGGTAGGACAAGCTGTGTAGGTTAAAGGACCCTGTTGGTTGACCCAGTTAGACAAAATAATATAATTTACAAAATACCCTGAAATGACTGTGAGTCAGGTCAACTACATAGGTCAAACTAGTAGGTCAGGGGTAGTCAGATTGTCGGAACATAAGAATTTAGCTAAGGCAAGAATGGTTGACCCCGAGAAGATGAATAATTTAGAAAAAAGCTCATCAATTGCAATGCATGCATTAACACACAACCACACAATAGAGTGGGAAAGGGTTAAAATACTAAAAAGTAATCTAGGTAGGCGGGGAGAGAGGTTGATTACTGAATCCTTGTTCATCGAGTCTACAACCAACACATACAATAGGAATGATTCATCACTCATACCAGAAATATGGAGAATACTACTACCAGTCAGATCAAGCGATGAATTGAAATAATGGAATTATATAAACGAAGTTAGAAAGTTGTGTGAGTACCTTGATATGATTATGAGCGGCAATAAATTATACTCAAAACGTCATCAGTTAATATTACTGTGTAACACTGTGTGACTTATCAAAATAAAATCTTATCCATAATGGAGTTATACTCTACCATCACAGTGCCCAAGTTTTATACTTATTATTATTATCAAAAACGTAAGACAATTTGAAGTAATTTGGTAGATGGTGACGAGCAGTAGAATCCAGGATAACGCACATTTCGTCCTGTTTGTGACTCATCAGCCATTGACTAGATGTACCTGCATTCTCCAGTGAGTCCGTGAGCGTTGGTGTCTCCACTGAGAGAGAGGCTCGAACCCAGTACGTATCTCGTTTCAAACATTAAAGCGTTATCCACTAAACCACCAACTGGGATATGAGAGACACTTCTTCTTCCTTGTGCAATGGGTATCAGTAATTATTGAATTCAGTTTAGAGTTTCCCATTGATTGCCTGGACTGAAGTGTTCAGTCTCCAAATTGAATTAAATGTATGACAATTGCTCAGTTATATAAAATAATAAAAGTACATCATAATAATAACCAATCATATTTTAGTAGGTCAAGTAGTCCATAGTAGGCATAGGTTGAAGTCTATTGCTCTCTGTACACACATAATTAGGGATGAATATGAATCATCCATTCATGTATCTCCATCACCTTCAGTAATCTTGACTTATGAGTTATGTGAAGTAGTTGTGAAACATTTATGAATATTGATTTTTCTAAATCAGGTATGAATAAATCCTTTGCAATGGATGATGTATGATTTTTATTCCAATTAAGTGTATTTAGGTTTCCTGTGTGTCTTAATAACCACTCTGGAACATGTTCTTTTCGACGATCACATTGGAAAATTCTATTGATTCTACCCATTTGCTTGTCATCGCAAATGCAGGTGAACTTATAGATTCATTGTGAAGTAGAGTCCACAGAATTTCGTCCTTTAACCATAGGTACAGGGATTAAAAATGTTGGAGATATGAGGAAAGGGGATAGCTGACCGAAGCGTTTGAGTTGTAAAATCGCATAATCTGATCATCCTTGAATAATAATTTAATAAAGATAGCCTTGATTGGCATAGAACCTGTCTTTTTTTCAAGGGGTATTCTCTCTCTGTCTCGGCTGCCAATAAAACTGGGTATGTGTGCTGTCATACATTTTAGCTTTATTATTATGAACCGCGTTAATTGTAGAGAAACTTTGAAATGAAGATATCATCTTGCGATAGTTGTCTTCTCAACACCTGATTTCAGGGTAATATACCGAATTCAAAAGTCGTTATCACGTACAGTTTGCTTACACACGTCTCCTACACATAGCTGAAGCTGTTACAATAAGATCGAATAAACCAGAACTTTGTATCCAAAAAGAACACGCCCAGACGCTGTTCCTACCGTGTCCAAACTTGGATTGAAGATTTTTCTTCTCACCAAGAGTGCTCCTTTCCCTTAACCCTCTTGGTTTTTTTCCTTTTCTTTTCCTTTGCTTATTACTGTAAATATTATTATTACAGTTATTATTATTCGTCATAATTTATGCCCTTTATGCAACCATTCCCTCAATATTGTTGAATTTTCATTTATACTATCCGGACTCATTATTATTAGTGATATTATCTCTTTTCTCAATATATGCCTCCACCTATTTCATTTCACATATTCGTTTTTTCATTATGAACGTGTCATTGTAGTCTTACTGTCTCCTCCTCTTTAATACATCCCCCTTTGTACTAGTCACTCACACTCAGCTGACACCTTTTATAACCTTGAACTGACTTGTCGACTTTCCCACCCCACACTCTACAATTTCATTATAATTAATCACCACCATTGTCTTCCGGTTTACAATATTTCTAATCGATTTCAGCCGACTAGCACGTCTGTCACACAAATATGACTATTTATTTTGACACCCCATAGCTACTAATCTGTTATTCTACGTTAAAAAAATGTATCCGCCGCCGCATACCTGGCTATCTTTATTGTAACGACAACAAACATTCTATTTTATAATTGTAAGAATCCGAAGAGAAATTATTGAAAAGAATATTCTTCGTTCAGACTGACTTTTAACACCTGATTTAATTTAACCAAAGGAACTGACTGTTACAGTTACGGAATTCATTTAGCGGAGAGATTAGGAACTAGACATATTGTTATTAGTTATTCCGTAGTGACCATCGATGAATCTTATTTTGAAGATTGAAGTGATATACTGACGTGTTAATTCTTCCGAGTAGAAAATCTTATGAAATTTTATATATCAAATACTGTTTTTTTAGCGACTACCCACCCAGGTCTCTGTAATCAGTGACTGATTTCGATAAGAAACTTCGTTGATAATTCGCAGTTTAATCAAGTTACACGTCAGTATTTTTTTAAAGTGAGGACAGAAGTAGAACAAGGTTGTCGACTATTGCCGATGATATTCTTTGACTGTGGTGGACTGGATAATGTAATAGATGGTGGGTAGTAAGAAGACGGACATACAGTAGACGAAAAAGGACTCTAGAAGATGTGAACTTCACAGGTGATTTATGCCTAATGTCACACAAACTCGAAGTTGTAAAGGTTAAAGTTGATAATTTGACAAAAGAGACAGCGAAAACAGGACTTCAGGTGAACATAAGGAAGACGGGGGTGATGAAGACATCAAACTGGCAAAAAACGAAAAACACCAGCTACCCTCAACAAGAGAAATTCAGAGGAAATTATCGCCTTCAGTTACTCAATCGGACAATATTTCAAATAAAGTCAACAGGGATGATGATGATGTCAAAACCAGGCAACCAGGATCGGAAAAGCAAGGCCGCTATTCATTACTTTGAAGTCGGTTCTGCTAAGAACTACAACACTCACTACAAATTTTTAACCTTATTGTCAAGTCAGTGAGTGTTTCAGAGATTTGGTATGCGAGTCGCCAACTGCCGACTTTCATCAACACCTGTTTTTACTCGATACTGGAGATTAGATGGCCAGCCAGAAAGGGTAATCAGTAAAGGCAACAAACTAGCTCAGAACCTGTTACCCGACAAATATGCAGGAGGAGTGAGTGTGAAACGGATATACAGTGAAGAGACTGTTAGCTGACACCACACGCTATGCATGCCCCAAAGTGGACGCAAAATTGAAAGTGATCAGTTTTTTGTGCGGAGGTTACATGTTGCAATACTCAAATACTCTTGTGGTGAGAGCAGGCTGCTAGCCAATTGGTAGACATTAATTTACGTCAATTTCTAGGTCACTAATATTGGCCGTGAGAAAATATGAACAAGGCTGATTCAACAACCAATCACACCGGACTTAACGTGGGCAAATACGATTCTCAGATATATGGCTTAACTTTCTGAGTAACCAGTCACAAGAAGTATGGGATAACCTTGAGCAAGAAACAACCAATCAGAAGACTGTGTTTGTCTGCTTGAATAAGCTATAATAATGTACATGAAATATAAATAAATACGTGCTGATTTCCGTAATAAAACGATCTGTTGCCTGACCCTTGTCTTCTGTTGTTACACTCTCACAATATTTTTCATTGGTTTCTCCTGGAAAATTCATAGCAGTAGGTTGAGTAGAAATTACGGCTCAGAGACGCTATTGGATGATTCAAATATTATGAGGTAGAGTGAATATTATAGTGAACTGAAGCCATGCAGTCAAACCAGACCTGTCTTTTAAGATTATCCACAAGATGAAACCGAATGGTGCAAAGGGAGTTAGCTATCGATGTTTGCATATGACGAAGGCGTTGGCGATTTGTCAATACAACTCCGAACTGTGTATACAGAAAAAGTTTGTCCAGTCTCTTATTTCACCATGCAATTAGCCTCTTCATTAATTGTTTCCTGTAAATTTTTATTTTTAAATAATTAATTCACTATTATCAGTCTCACATATTCCTTTTATACGTTTTCTCGCCCTCCTCACACTTGTTAAATAGGCACTCAACTAATGCCTTTCTTCTCACTCAGTAACAATTTTAACCTTATCAAATTTCTTACCCTCTCTTTCTTTGTGGCGTTTAGTATTACGTAATCAAAATCAATCGACGAGTTACACAGACTAAGATGGCTAGGTCACGTGCTGCGCATGCCTAACCACCGCCTCCCTCGACGGGCTTTGCTAGCTGATATAGGTTCAGGTTGGAAAAGAGCCAGTGGTGGCCAAACAAAAACATGGCTTCATCAATCCATGAAATCCTTGACAGTTGAACTGAGTCAGGTAGGGAGATGCAGACTCCCGGGTTGGGGCCCTCGGGACTCTAGGAATCAATGGCTGGAGACAATAGGTGACATGGCTCAAAATCGTTGTCAATGGCTAGCGCAGATGTATTCAGTCTCTGTAATCTTTCATATTCCTTCCTACCATTACCCATTCTGTTTCACTCTTATACTTGTCAGACTGTATTGATTCTCTTCACTCATCTTCTTGTCTACCTCTGTGTGCTATTTGGAACGTGGCAACTCGAACTGGTGCACTTCGGTGGCAAGTTCTATGTTGAATCCAGGCAGACAGATTACGTAATTTATAAGTTTTTATTTTTACTTTTGAAGTCATTTCTGAGTAATTATATCAGTTATGTCACCCCCCCTGTTAATCAGTAGTTGACTACTATAATTTCTTTGGCAAATATGAGTATTTACTACATTTGATTCCGTGATATATTTTGATAGAGAAAGAAAGACCAAATTTGCAGTATAAAATGTGATATCATCATTCTATTTCACAGGTTCTCATCAGCTGCAAACTACCTGAAATTACAATGGTTATAAATAATAACATTTCACACTTCATTGTTTGAAAGGTAATAGAGAAAACATTATAAGGTGAACGCATCTGGAATATAAGTATTATAATCTAAGTCAATCACCACTAATTTATATACTATCAAACTATGAAAGAAAAAAGGTGGGTGAGAGAAGACAGAAAACAGAAAAATCTAATAAATATTGTTAGCTTGTACGTCACCATGGCAACTCAAGAGAGTTAAAGTTCATCAAACTGAGAACTTCCTCAGTGAACTGAGCTCCCTAATATGTATGACTAATCCCTGTAATCAATGTAATGAACTTACCAAGGGAGTGAGATATTGACTACACTCTATTTCTGTGTACACAGGTTTGGTCTGTGACGTTTGATTGCAACTGCTTCAGCAAATCGTAATAGGTTCACTATCCTTTGTATGTTTATTATTTTGAAGGATTTAGAAATCTCGACAAAATGGGTGTTTGGTAATTGCACTTTGTAAATATCTGCTTCCTTTTAAGCATAATTTTCTCGGAATATGCTCTGAAAACTGGATAGAAGCCATTCTTTCTGTCCTTCCAATGTACTTGTGCTGCAGGTTCACGTCAATTTGTAAATGCAGTTTGAGGTAATATCACCAGGGTACTTATCCAGTTTTGACTGGCTTATAGAGCACTACATGCTCTATAGTGTCACCAGCTTAGCTGTAGGGAAGCATCTCTTTTTAATTGCTCCTTTCATTCTCTTTTCAATCTTTTGCTATACTATTTCTCCTTTGTATGGAAGGCAAATGAACACCTTCTTCTCTTCAACTGTTGGATACTTCTCTTTCTCATCTCTTTCTTTGTTGAACTTCAGGATAAATCCTTTTGGATATCTGTTTTTCCTTAAGGCATTTTTCAACAAAGCTTAATTCTTCTTCTACCTTGTTAGGCGAACATAACTTCCTGGCCCTGTCGTACAGTGTCTTTCTTTCTCTATCGAAATATAAATATAACTATACAGTCTGTGAAGATGATTTCGTCGATAAAGAAGCATTTTCTTCACTGAATTTGTCTTTTATTTTCTTCATAACTCAATGGGTATTTTATTATTATTATTATTACATCAAATTCGAAGAAGTAGATGGGTATATTTCCGACTAAGAAATATACACACTAGGTCATGGAGAAATCTTTTTTAAAAACTGGTCGTTAGTCATGACGAAAGTGGAAGGCAATTCCACTAAACTTTTGTATGTGTAACACTATACCTTTATTCATTTTTCTTGTGTTCTTGTTGTGTTTTTCCTTTCAAAAAATTTATCTAGAACTTCATCACACCGGATACTTCAGCACGACTCCTCTATCTGCTAAATGGTTTAGGCGCTGCTGTAATTGTCAATGGAACTTCTCAACAATTATGTTCTGATTCTCTTGTAGGCAGTCTTCTTGGCAAGCCTTTACCAACTGGATTCGATGAAACACAATCAACTTCACCATCATCGGGGTAAATTATGCCGTTTTTTCTTTTAAAAAAGTTATTCCTATTGGTTGTTGCAATTATCTGATTATCCGGAATTGGTCCCTAACATCTAACTGTGGAATTTGGTTATCCTTTATACTAAAACAAGGAGATTTGTAACCCCTTTGTTACAATGAAAAGTATCTATGTGGTTCTCACAAGAGTGAGAAATAATTTGAACTAACGCTGTGCTTTGGCTAATTTCGATAAAAATCTACTATGACCCTTGATAAACTTGGTAGTTTTCACTAACGAAATACCTAACTAATCGATTTGTGAGCCTACTGTTCTAATCACTATTTCCAGCAACAACGATATGATGAGATACCCAGGTACCTGAGATATAAGAAGATAAGAAGACAAACTGTCGACGTAGAGAGCTTTTACCGTCTCATATCAACAGCAAAAGGGTTAACAGCAATTAACTATCCGTCTATTTAACTATCATGCTTTAAATGGCTTTGAGAGACACTAATTAAATTGATAAGTTGAAACAGTCATAACCAATAGGATTCCACAGTCACAAGTCGGGGGGGGGAGTTACGACACATGACTGTAGTGTAAAGGTAAATGTATTATTTGAGCAAAGTTAGATCTATATAACAGTTTCACTAAGATTGAAATCGGTAAATAAATAATGATTTTGAATCACTACCTATCGTGAATTGAATCGGCTGACAGGTTGATAGAGGTTTTTGGAGGTGTTTCATATTCTGTGAAACTCATCATTAGTGTGCTTATCCACATTCTTGAAGATCTAGACTACGAATTAGTAGAGCTTGAGTCTACCACTTTGTTGTTCAGTCATTGTGTTTAAATGGGATGACTCTTAATTCCTAATTTGTATCAATTCAGGACACCGCATGGTCAGTGGGTAGTGTCATCAGTAAGTAATTTTCCTTACCACTGATTTCACTAGCTATGTCTATTAAGCGCTCCAACATTTATACATCTCATCCTAGAGTTGTACGACAATGCTGCATGCCAAGTAATCCACAGCAAGAAACTGACGGAATCCTTCGACGTGAGGGTGGGAGTAAGGCAAGGCTGCCGAATATCTCCAATGATTTTCCTGATTACGGTAGACTGGATAGTGAGACAGACAACGGGCAGAGGAAACAGGCATAAAATGGATTCACACAAAAACTTGGAGAGTCTGGACTTCGCCGATGATACATGTCTGATTTTCCACAAACTGGAAGATATGCAAGTGAAAAGCAACAAGTTGTCCGAAGAAACATTAAAGGTAGGAAGGACTTTAGGTGAACGCAGAGAAAACAGAGGGGATGAAGATGCCTGGTCAACAGCAACAACAAAAACAACAGACAGCAATCAGCCGGCATAAACGGGAGGAATCTGAAAGAAGCAGCCTCCTTCACCTACCGACCTACCTGTGAAGCATCGCTTCAGTTACACGCGGACCGAACTGACGAGGATATCAAAGCAGTGAGGATCGGGAAAGCAAGGCAAGCTTTCATTACTCTCAAGTCTGTGTGGAGGTCAACAGCACTCAGCATGAAAATGAAAACAAGATCCGGATTTTAAACCCCAATGTGAAGTCAGTGCTACTATGCGGGTCAGAACTTGGCACCGCGTCAAGAAGGGCACTTTGAACAAAATACAGACCTTCATTAACAGCTCTCTTCACTCAATCCTACTTAAGACCAAATGGCCAGCAACAGAGATCTCTGGGAACGAACCAACTGCAACCGATGGTGCAACAAATCTGCAGGAAGAAATCAAGTTAGGTGGATTGGCTGGCCATAATCTGAGAAAACCATCAAGTGAGTGATATCACACGCCAGAACATTTCTTGAGCGGAACCCGAATGGGAAGTGGCAAGTTAGTTGGTCGTCAGAGCAAGGTTGACATGCAGGAGGATGTTATGTGAAGAGGAAATGAAAGCATGTAGGCAAGCATGGAGACGTGCGGCTGAGGCCCCATGTTCCTCTAGGAACTAAAGGAAACAATAATAATATAGTAATATCAGAAATTTTGGGGACCTACGTCCAAAAATAGTCATCTTGCTTTTCACTTGTCAGGAGTCAAAATCACTTACAGAACTATTCAAAACTGAGGAGTACCAAACAGATAGATTTAGTTCAATGTGGCTTTCCCTCTTATTGATTGAACTGAAGTGTTCAGGTTGACATATCGGCTCCTTATGCAGATACTTCGACGATGTTTGATTATTTAACTTGAGGTAAATTGGTAGATGGTGAGTAGCACAGTAGAATCCAGGATGCGTACTTCATTCCAATCAATCAGCGGTAAAGCCAAATTGAATGAAATAGTTATTAACAGAGTGCACAACGAGCGGCTGTCGTGGCCTAAGTAGCTTTTAGGATAACGCTCTGCCATCTGAAATGATGGATGCTGGGTTCGAGCCTCTGTTGGAACACCATCACCCACTGACTCATTGGGGAATGCAGGTACATCCAGTCAGTGACTGACGAGTCTCGAATGGGACGAAATACACATCACTGGTGCAGTACTGCATTCCACTGCTAATCACCATCCAGCAGTTTACTTCAGACAAATAGATGCTTAGACATGACTGCTGTGACCTCCAATCCACACAAGTGAGCACCTGGTCGGGTTATCTAAGAATGATGATTATTTCTGAACATTCAGCGGTTTCCTGTAAGGCCTAACTAACTTAGAAAAATTAGGAATATTTTTTCTTGTGGTTGATGTTTATTTACTTGAAGTTTTGGCAATCATCCAAAAGGTGGATAAACATGTTCATATTCGGAATGAGATATTTTATTCCCATAGGATCTAAAAAATTTTGTTCTCATTCAATAAAATCAATAACCATGTACAAATGCATGATGCTGTTTCTTATAATAATAGTGGTTAGCAAGGGAATATAGTGTGGGTGGAATGTTATCTTACTTTATCTGGACTCATCAGCATAACGTATCTACATTCAAATAAGTGATAGTATTATCATTTGTAGTCGAACTCATAACTTATTATTAATTATTATATCCTTTAATTCCTAGAGGAATATAGGGATTCAACCTCACGTCTCCATTGCCTTCGGTTTTCTGCCAACGTTTTCACCCCGCTCCAAGTCTGCCCACATGTGTTCATCTCCTCTTCACATCACCTCCTCCAAGTCACCCTTGCACTGACGACCAACTCGCCGCTTCCCTTTCGGCCTAGTTCCACTCGAGCAATGGCTTGTCTAGTGATGTCACTTGATGGTTTCCTCAGAGTATCGCCAGCCAATCCATTTCCATTTCTTCTTGCTTATTTGTTTCACAATCTGTTGCTTCTGGGTTGGTTCGCTGATTGCCAGAGCTCCCTGTTTCTGATCTTTTCTGGCCATCTGATCTTGCATATAACATCACAGCAAGCGAATATCATCGGCAAACACCTGCTTTCACACCCGACTAGTTGGAGTACATTGGTAACCTGAAGGTCGTTTATATGATCCCTGAGAAATCATGGGCGTTTACTGATGAAGAGTTGCAAACTAAGAGGAATACGGCTTTCTAGTGGTTCTGTAACAAATTTCAGTTCTTAATCTAACTTGGAAATAAATGGTAGTATACAATAATTACCATACGCATGAGTAATATTCATCCGAAAACATTTTCTTCATTCTAAACGTTAAAAGTTTTAGATATTGACTGGAAAATGAAATGAAAATCTATATAAAAGGAGTATAAATGTTACAGGAGGAGTTTTAAAATACCTCTGTACTCTTCTAACTCAGTTCTGACACTAAAGAGTTTTGTTTTCTTACCGCGTCAATCAATAAATCATTGGAAAATCGTTAATAATTTCTAAGAATAGTGTTCTTCACTTCTACGAATTGAATGATTTCTGTTAATGTTGTAACAGAGAATTAAAAATCATAAAATTAATAGCTTATAACTTCATCATCACTACCAATTGACGTTAGATGCATAACATAGCTGTTTATGTGGACTGACGAAACTGCAAATACTTAGTGGAGCACCACTGACACAGTCGTTTCACTTGCTTTCAGCAGTTAGTTCACAATTTCTAGTTAGATAAACATGTTTCCCATTTTGCGGAAGCCTTGATCATGAAAGGTAGATTGACTTTTGAACACTCAGTCCGTTGTTTCTAATTTTCCTTTCCATAGGGTACATGGTTGAAGGTAATCAGCAGGAAGGCCTAAACTTAAGTTTTGTGCTTGTTAGCACTCGTCAGGAAGGTGTGCCTTCAATTTTGAAGGAACCCTTATCCTCTCTTGGATACAGCCTCCAACAATCTGACATCTATTCAAATTACACTACGATGTCGAATCACCTAGCCTGGTGACCAAATTGCAAACATATCACATCAGATCAAACTGGTTGGAGGATAACTAAAGCGTACTATACTCATTATTGTGTTATTATTTACTCTCCTGAAATTGGATTATTCTTTCATTGAAGTCATTGATGTAAACATGATGCAGATTCATAAACTAATTGCCCAACAAAGTATAACTTTAATTATGAAGAATTAATTTTGAAGTCTAATTAATCATTTATGAATTACATGTAATTCAAGATGAGAATTTGTCACAGTTTTCTTTTATATTATTTTTATTTTTCTTGTTCCCTTGGGTTCCAAGAGGAACATACGGATTCAGCAGTACTTTGTCCTACTTTCTGCTGTCCTCGTCACCTGGACCCACGATTGTCCATAACCACTCATCTCCTACCCTCATGATCTCCTACTTGTCACCTTCAGACCCCAGACCAACTCATCGTTTCCGATTCAGGTTCCACTAGAGCGATGAGTTGGCTAAAACATCATGTGGCGAAGTTAAACTTTCGACACCACTAACTACCAATCAGCGAATTATCCAATGAGATTCACAAACGATGTCGAATTATCCAATGAGGTTCACGAACGCAGTTCAATGTTGTATAGCGCTTGATTCATTTCTAATGCGTGACCTTACAAAGCTATTGTTGCAATTCGAGGAGGTTAGCGTTTTCCAGTATTTCCTGGATTTGAGTTGCGCCGGAAAGAGCGAATTTGTTTGTGTGGTGGCATCACGACTTTAAAAAGCTATACCAAATCAACTGATGGGTTTGTTCATCGTTGTGCTATATGTTTGAAGCCTACTAACGCTAGAGAGAGTAAGCTGATAATTTTAATATTTGGTAGGAAGTTTTTTCGCTAGGTCGCTTCTCTCCCTAAGGATAGCAGATAGAAAAGCAACTACTCTTATACCTATTATTACCAGACTTGTTAAGCGGGGGTCAATTATACACACTGACGAGTGGAAAGGCTACAATTCACTGTCATCTCTGGGATGTATTCATCACAGAGTCAACCATTCAAGTGATTTTGTGGATCCCGTTACGAGGACACATACAAAATCTATTGAAGGATTTTGGGGCAGGTTAAAAAATAGGATAAGGGCTATAAGTGGATCTCATTTATGGTAATTTGGATGAATATATGTACAGGATATGGTGTAACTTCTCCATTGACAGTCCCATGCTAAACTGGGAGATGTTTCTCTCACATGTTCGAGAAAGATATCCCATGTAACTTTTTTATTCTCTATTTTATGCTTTTTTTCTACAAATATACATTTCCATTCATCATATATGCCTCTTTAATGTGACTGGTCCGTTCAAGGTCGTTTGCTGATTGGTTGTTAGTGGTGTCGAAAGTTTAACTTTGCCCAATAGTTTCTTGTTTTTGGGATACTACTCGCCCTAATGAGAGTTTTCAGAGTTCTACGAAGTATGACATAGTCTTTTTAAGTAATCCAGGAAAGAATAAGCTTGAACAGTAAAGAAGAGTAGGTAAGATGCACGAGTTGACAGACTGTAAGAGGAGAAGGGGTTGAGTTATGGCTGAGTGCCTTAAATTCTTAATGTAAAAATTCAGGCGAAATATTATTTTAGAAATCTCTAAGATACGAGAGAAGACCAGGATAGATTAGAAGAAAGAATTAGTTCTAGGTATTCAACGTCTGACTTGATTTCCATATCACGTTCACCAACTTTAAAACGGTAATAAGAACTATCAGCCTCACCATTTAACTTTCTTTTACATCGGAAACTGAAATTAACAATCTGATATTTGGAAGAATTTAGTTTAAGACCATTTGCTGACTTCTTATTGAAAACTGTTCATCTGCTCGAGGTGAATGGTCAGGAACTACTTATATCAGTATGCCAGTAGTATTTGTTATTAACAACAGATAAAACAAAGTTACCATGTGTTATTTATTTTTTTAAATATTCCTAATTGTTTTTTTTCCGTATGTTTCTGAAAAAATGTTATACAGAGTAAAACAAGCTATTCATCTTGTCATGGAACAAAATCATCAAAGGTGGAAATTTTTAAAATTTTGTGGTAAGATGAAACAATATAAATTATGGCATATAGTCTTTTTATTTTGTTAAATAATTTTTATCTACGGCATGACTTCATAGAAAGTGATAATGGTAAGGTCATACGCACCCACTGGGTTTCGAATCCAGGACCTTCTAGTTATAAGGCAAGCTTGTAGACCATTCAGCCCTTCGAACCCGAATCAGTAGCCAGACCATGGATTCTAACACCTACCAAATTAATCTGATGCCGACTAGTGACTAGCTGCAGCAAGGAATTGAGTGAGAAGTCGTGACCAGTGGGGTCTACTCGGTTGGGAGAGAAGATAAAGACTCGACAGAGATGAGATTGGCTGATGATTGCGCTAAAGTCACGAACTGGCATAAGTTGGAACTCATGGACTGGCCATTGCTTCGGGTCCCAATGGCTGAATAGTCTACAAAGTTGACTTGTAATTGGAAGGCATTTGATTCGAATCCTGGCGGTGGATGGCCATTGATGAGGAGTCCCGAACAGGGACAAAATATCTGCCCAGTGCTCCCTGCTAGTTTTCAATGTTTCTTTAACTGACATTATTAATCCGTGATCAAAACTTGAAACAAATTAAATTCATACGAACAAAATCGTTGGAAATGGTAAGGTCGCTTGCCTCTTCTGTCCAGTCAGTTTTCATGTGGTTGTCTTCACTGACCTAAATGGTTTAATTTAGAAGGTTTCATTGTCTTTTCCTACTAAAATCCCTGGTCAGATGTCAGATGATGTGACTAGCTTAGTTTTATTCAATTATTGTGTTCAAATCTAATGAATCACCTTTTGTAATCTGTCACTCTGGAACAAAGAGTGACCATTCATTGTACAATGAGGCCAGCCGTCATCAGGAAATATCACTTATGAAGAATTCTGATAAGATCCCTTCATATTCAAGTCTCCACTAAAGATGTATTGTTTAGAAAGAAAATAAAAGCTTTGTGATTAAATCATCCAGTTTAGAGAAGACAATCATATGAAAATTATTTCACCAGAACTACAAATCTTCTCTATTACTATAATTAGCCTGTCATAGATATAAATGTCACTGATTGGTTAATATATCAATGAATTTTCCTGTCTTCAGCGTCTTCATTCATATTTTATAGACAAGTAATGTGTGCCACGGTGGCTTAGAGTGTGTAGAATACTCGCGAACCACTCAAGAGGTTTGGGGTTCAATTTCCAACCGACACGATTCTGAGAATCGCTTCGTCTGTAGTAAACCCGGTAAAGAGTTGGGGGTTAGGTGGTAGGTGGGTGGACATGAGGCTAGAGATCAAACTCGTAACAAAAAAGAACACCACTGCTACCGAAACTTAAGAACTTGACCTAGAAGTTCTATATTCCATTCAGAACGCTGAAGGAATAAAAAATGATGACTAGCGTCGTGCTGATTGTTAGTTCTATTACTCCAAATTGCGTAAAGCGTCAGTGAACATTAAAGATGAGTCTGTGCACTAATTCATCTTACTTTTAGGGATATTAGAGTACCAGACATCTATAAACCTTTTATTTATTGAACATAATTACACTCACTCCTGAAGTAAATATACAACAATCAGCCTACTATATGGATTTTACATAGCTGTTAATATGCCTTGGATATCTTTCAGTGTCTTGAAATGTTGTATTTTGTCATGAAGTGACATCAGTGGAAAAGAGTGGAAAAACCATATAGCGCTGGAGAGTTGTTCCCCCTCCTCATACCCCATTTGGGAACTGCTCAGCTATTTGGGTAGATGATCGCATCAGGAATCGCAAAAGGAATCTTCAGTTTGCAATCCGACCACAGAGTTTCATGATGTAGCACATCATTGTCAAATGTCATTGATAACTATGTAACAACAGAAGACAAGGGCTAGGCAACAGATCGTTTTATTATGAAAATCAACACGTATTTATACATATTTCACATACATTATTATAGCTTATGCAAGTAGACAAGCGCAGTCATCTGATTGGTTGTTTTGGGATTCCTCGACAAATAGAGTTCTCTATCTGCGAATCATATTTTGCCATGTTAACTTTGCTGTGATTGGTTGTTGAATCAGCCTTGCTCATATTTTCTCACGGCCTGCTCTCACCACAACTATATTTCGCCAGGGTTTCTCATAAGATGTTTCTATTGAAGAATAAAATTCTAACTTGAATTAAGAACTCTGAATTACTAATTTACGCGCGGTCGAAATCTAAAAGGCCAGCACCTCTATACAAGGCAGTGGAGATTCGGTTAAATGGCTTAAGCTTTAGACTTTCGGGTAATGTTTCCTGAAATCGAGTGCCATTCGGCCTAGATCAAACATTGGAGAATGGGAAGTATCATCTCTCGTCACAGATCACAGCCTGATAAATTTTTATAGTTTGGGAAAATGGTTTGTGTCATGAAAATATGAAATGGGGAAGAATGAAACGGTTACCTGACTGTTGTTTTATCGCAGATTACCAGAAAAATCAATATTATTGTCCCAAAACGTCTACACACTTCAAGATGATGTCAATATTTACAAAAGTGTAGTGACTTATATTAAAACTCTTTTTGAATTCTGCATCACGCCTTATTAGTTTCGTCATAAGTTAGATAAAGATTATTGCTTTGCTTTTGCCACGAACGTTCCATTAACAGACTAGATGGCTTTACCAGAGGGAACTTCGTAATTTGAAGAAATTGAGCAAAAAATATTCTTTTCGATAATTTCATCTTCTGGCTGTACAATTATGTTTGTATATATATATATATTTGTATGCACAGAAAATTCTGAAATAATCGTCATCAACAATATAGTTGTTTTTTTAAATACTAGTGATTTGTTAAGATCAATAAAATTACAGTTCAAGTAATAATAACAGGGATAAAAGTGTTATAGGAAATAGAAGAGCATTAAAACCTTGGTGGTCAAGGTAAGCACAGCGTCTGAACCAACCAACTTCTTCTCGATACATAAGTTAGGTTTCTTAATATAAATCCCAACAGCCTCAGCAATAAATAGTCGACGAACTATTATGGTAAAGTTAAGATAACTTTGTATGCTGTAGATGACTTTGAAAGTCTCGTTAACATCAGTCGTGTGTTCTTTATCCACGAGAGGAGCTAGAATAGAGCTATGAATGGATTCCGTTTGTCCTTCACTTAACCGCACAGAATGGTGTTCGGTGTTTCATAATTTGAAATAACTAGTTCCCTTTATGAATTTAGACAAAGTGATAAGAAAACGTAATCTGTCTGAATGGTGTAACGTATTTTTAAGTAAAGGTTGACTTCAGAGCATACTCCTAAATGTCTCCAAAAGCAAATAGAATCCCCAGAACCCATTAATGGGGAGAACAGGAGACATAGCTCCTCTATTGCGAAGCAGGGCAGGAGTGATAAGTATGCTACTGAGACACACCAAACAAAAGAGAACAAACAAAAACAGGCCGCGTGTGACCGGCCTCAAGCAGTTGTCCCCTGGGCTCTGCGGTCACGCAACCAACTTCCACGGTGTGGGCAGCCGGGAAGTAACAATCGCCCTCACAATCCGAAATGCACACAAAACCTCTCTAATCCTCACTTATCTTTGTCTTCATCTTCATCTCCGTTGCCTTGCCTTCCTCCCACTGATGCAACTCCTCTACTTGATGGCTCCTCACTCCCTCTTCCCTCTGTGTCCACTAAAAACGACGGAAGCCAAAAAATTACCACCGATAGTCTCCTAAAGCCACGCCACCAATTTCATATAGGAGCATTTAATATTAGGACACTTTGCCAAATAGGACAACAAGCATCACTAGCTAAGACCCTGGCATCTCGAGCCATTGATGTATGTTGTGTTTCACAAACACGCATACAAGACCCAAGTGTGGTTATTCACCTAACCCCACCTGGCCAACAGGATGAATCTTCAAAATTCACCTTGAGGGTGTCAGGAGATGCCACAGCCAGTTCACGAGGATTAGCTGGCGTAGGGATAGCTTCGAGTACATGGGCAGAAAAGACATTACTTGACTGGATCCCAGTAGATAGCCGAATGTGTGCTGTCCGTCTGAACGGATCAGTAAGAAGGAGAAAGGACTGCACTACTCGCCGATGCCTTTTCGTAATCTCCGCCTACGCCCCCACTGACTGCAGTTCGGATGAAACGAAGGATGAGTTCTACCAAAAACTGTCTAGTTTGGTGAGAAAGGCTAAACGCTCAGATATAGTCGTTCTAGCTGGTGACTTTAACGCTCAAGTAGGGAAATTGTGTCAATCTGAGAAGGTTATCGGTGGCACCTATGGAGTCCCGTGCCAGCGAACCGACAACGGTGACCGTCTCCTACAGTTCTGTTCAGATAATCATTTGTTTCTCGTAAGCACTAACTTTAAACACAGAGAGAGACACTGTTTGACCTGGCGACCTATTGCGAAGCATGTTATAGATGGGAGAGAACATAAAATTGATGTTTCCACACATCCTTTAAGCCTATCTATAGAAGGTATTTGGGGCGTATCTCAAAGTTTCTGGAAGCCCTAGCTGTAAATGAGGCAGTTTAAACCACATTTATGCGCTCATAAAAAAAAAATCGTCATCACACTAAACCACCTTCCTTGGTAAACTTTATTTTGATACTAGCCAGGGAAGATGTACTATTATTACCTCCGTTATTTGGTTTAGTGATCTTCATTGTTATTTTGACATTCAATATGTCCTTTTAACTTGATCTAAGTGGTCTGTTTTCTCACCTCTTAGTTGTTTATATTATTTTCATACATATTTCTATGACAACTTCGTTTGTTTGTGTATGATTAGACTGCTCGAAGGATGTTACGCAAATACATGACAGTGATTCAGACAAATTACGTCTTCTTATTGCTTTGACTAACTTTATAAATGTTTGTTTAATTTAACTTTTTGTTTTTTCTTTTTTCTTATACACCAATTTAGGAAGTTTACCAAAATGGACTTAAATCTAAGTTAGTGCTCAGAAGAATACAAACGCACAGTTAACAATCTCTGGGCAAATTAATTATATAATCACATAGCTATTAGTTGGGAACAGTATTAACATTTTAGAGAAAAAGTACTATTAGTTTAATATAGTAATAATAATAACAATAATAATTTTATTTCTAATTTGTGTTTTTGCTCTGGATGGTGTCGGGTACGGTTTCATGTTATTCAGCACTTCTTCAACTATTTGTTGATGTTAGATGGTTGGAGGCAATCGGTAGAAAGTCATGCTAGTTGGCACTCATCAGTCAGCAAGGGCGTATGTGCAACCTTGAAGGGACTCATGTCCTTTCCGAGATTCGAACCTACGTCGCCGAGTGAATGCGGCAATCATAGACGTTACCACTGAGCTGCTATTGGGGCTCGCGATTGACCTCCTGTAGGACTGAATCGGATACCTTCGTTGTAGATACGCCTTGTTGTCTGGTGAGTGCCAACTAACACGAAACATAGGCCAGGTAGGGCTTCCCGTGGCCGATTGCCTCAAACCATCCAATACCAACAATTCACAGTGCACTGTGAAGACAAACCACCTAGTATCATGGTGGCCACATTGCGAACCTGACTGATAGAATTCAGTCTGCAACAAAGAACGGACTAGATATATCACACTAGTTACTAGTACTTCGTCAACTAGTTGATGGTGGTTAACAGTGGAATCCAGCAAACTGAGACTCATCAGCTAAAAAACGCAATTCTTCTACGGCGGTCTACTTAAATCACTGGGCTAATACGAATAATGTCCTCAAGTGTCTTCTATCTCTCAAACCCACTCAGTCCCTTGGTCCTGATGGTGTTCCTGCTGTTATCCTTAAGAAGTGCGCTGACATCTTTTGTTCCTCATTAACTGACATTTTTAACGAATAGTTTTCCAAAAGTATTATACCTGACTCATGGAAAAATATCAAGATTGTTCCAGTGCCTAAATCAGCAAGTCAACCTAATGTTAATTTTAGACCCATTTCTATTACCTCACCCTTTTTGAAAGTTATGGAAAGACTTATTTTACTTAATCTTGAACCCTCTTTAAGGCCTTTTAATGACGCCAACCAGTTTACTTATAAACATAGTAGGTGTACGTTAGATGCCGCTGTTGTCCTACATCATAATATAGTCTCTAATTTAGATAGAGGAGCTAAATACGTTCTCCGAGCCTTCCTTGATTACACATCTGCATTTGACTCTGTACCTAGGTCTCTCTTGCTAAGAAAGCTTGCTGCAACACAGGCTGAGAGCTGGACAAATAAGTGGCTGCATTCCTATTTTTCTGATAGGAAGCAGTACACCATCTACAATGGAAGGTCCTCCCTCCACTACCTCACTTACTTTAGCTGGTGTTCCTCAAGGTGCTGTTCTTTCTCCTTTCCTGTTTTCTTTTTTCTTACATGACTTGCCTCATTCTGATGTAGCCACATTTGTTAAGAATGCTGATGACCTCTCTGTTTCTATACCTGTCAACTCTCAGTCAGATTGTTCCAAATTAAATAACTTTCTGTCGGAAATTAGTCAGTGGTCCTCTTCAAACGATCTTAAGCTGAATCCGTCTAAATGTCAGGTAGTCAATTTCACTTTCAGACGTATACGTGACCTACAACAACTAGCTAGCTCACATGGCCCCACTATCATTGGCGGCATAGAGGTTGAAATTACATTTAATGTCAAGTACCTGGGACTGAGTATTTCCTCGGATCTTTCCTGGTCTTCCCACATCTTGCTAGTTACTAGAAAGATGTTTCGCTTAACGTTCTACATTAGGAAATTTAGGCAGTGTGGCATAAAGCAGTCTTTGTTTTCTCAGTTTGTTAATTCTTGTATTCTACCCATCCCCCCTTACTGCTCCCCATTAATCTTTCCTGGACTACTTAAGAAAGACTTTGCTTTGCTGAGAAGGGCACTAAAAGCAGTTAGTAGGGTAAAGTAGGATATCGTTAAACCAACTGGTTAACACTTTTGTGGATAGACATATAATGTCATGTAAGAAACAAGCAAATACAACACTGTCAGACCCCGAAGATCCTCTCTCTCCCCGCAGCTCTGTCCTTGCATTTCATCTGGTAGAACTAGAAGCAGCTATAAGAGGCTGGCTATATGCTAGGACTACCACCAAGTACAAAAACTCCACAATACCATATCTGGAACAGCTGTTATGTGATGAGAAATCCGTTAGGTATGTCACAATCAACTTACTGCAGCACTCTAACAAATAGTCGCATTATTTTTTGTTTCCCTTTCCCTCTTTGCTATTACACAGTTGTTCTTGTCTTCTATTACACACCAATTTTATACTTCATACCCTGTGGTGGATTGTTTAAAATGTAAACGCAACGCTGTTTCTTTTTCTTTTTATTTATCTTCTTTTTTTTGGGTGTTACTTTTTGATTTTAAAAGTCTTATAAAATGTATGAGGTAATTAGATGCAGTATATTGTAATGCACGCTGAAAATTCCATACCTGTACCACAAATACTGTTTGGAATAAAGCTGTTATTATTATTATTATCTAGATTTCTTGTCCATCAATAGGCATCGTGTTTACTGCATCTTTTCAT